TCATTAAAAACAGATCGATAGTAGTCCTTCAGCAAACTCTTAAATATGTACGCTTTACGAAGATTCAGCACACTTTTAAAAGATGAACGATTTACGAAGACAGAATAGCAGACCTCAGCAAACGTTTGAAAGATGAACGCCGAGGACACACGAATCACCACCGGAGTTAGCGCGTCGAAGTGAGGCAAAACGTAAGCAATCGCCTCAAAGCGAGGCAAATGTGTGTCGACGACGACGAACGAATGCAATCTCAAAAAATCTCCCTTACTAATTGCACAGGACACCCAATAATGCACAGAACACCCAACACAAATTAGGGGTTGCGTTCTCGTACCTCGACCGCAATAACGCTTTCAGTCTGTTAATCTGATAAGGGTTGTAAAGCTTTAATGCAGGTGGACTATGCCACCTCATGTCACAACCCTCTCTTGTCAGTCTTCGAGAAACTATCATCTGCCGCCAGACTGAGACCTTCCCTCTCCTATAAATATCCTTACGCTGAAAAACCCATACGTCCAATTAGTAAGGTCATTAAGCCCACGTAAGGGGAACTCACTTTTCGAAACATCGAAATTACAAGTCATAGATTCAGGGCACATTCAGGAAAACCAGCCCCCCTTAGTGCAAGTGACAGCAAGGGTGTTTTTCTCCAAAACAACGAACATAAACCTAGCCAGCCGCACATCCACATTTAGCCACTTCTACTCAGATGACGTCCACGTCCTCGGCGGTCTCAGTGACTTTACGACCCGGGGTCAATTTCTCAAAAGTTCCGATAACTTTTCAGGCCCGAAAAGCTGTTTTATGTTCGCCGTGTTTGCATTCAAGATGAGTTTAAATAATTTTGAAAATAATAAAGTAAAATTATCAGTTAACGAAGCAAAATTGACCGGTTTTTGAACTACATGTAGGAACTGGGCTTTCAGGTAGCCTCCCACGCAGGCTTTTGTAGGGGAGTCGTATTTCCTTCCTCCCCACAAACGCCTGCTTTAATAGCCAAGACCAACTTTTCTTTCCGCCGCTTTGCCAATCAAATGCATATGGTACCTACCAAAATCTAGTGAGTTTACCTTGAACGCAAAAGCTTTTCACGCAACCGGAGCCAGGACAAATGATCTTGATAAAGCTTTTAGCACCCGTGTTTATCAAGTTTAAGATTTCTCGGCTAAATTCATTTCAGATAAAAGCGATTTACGAATTTTTAACAAGTAACAAGGCGAGATATACGCTAGTTTGCTGACTGGCTATGGCAAATCGCTTGTTTAACCAGTTTAACATTCGGTGATCGATAGGCTCAGTCACCACTTTTTTTGGGTGACACGTAGCGGTAGTTGTGTCACCTCTCGCATCAGAGTATCCTAGTATACGCTAGTTTGCTGACTGGCTATGGCAAATCGCTTGTTTAACCAGTTTAACATTCGGTGATCGATAGGCTCAGTCACCACTTTTTTGGGTGACACGTAGCGGTAGTTGTGTCACCTCTCGCATCAGAGTATCCTAGTCAGTCTGCGCGATTTGTAGCCAGAAGACACGGAAAAGTAGAGAAAACAGCGTATTCGGTTGCTTTTGGCACTATACAGCCACGGTGGAACACTGAACGTCGGAGAGAGATTCTGTCCCATCGACGTGGAAAAGGTTATGTTGAGGAGGTAGGTTATAAAGCAATTTTAAGAGCAGGGAAGATGGAGTAATTTTGTTTCATGTGTCGAGATGAGTAAGAAAACTTCACAGATTTCGACGCTGAAGTTCGCTTTGTTGTTGCGTGAAGTGTAAAGTTTCACCTCTAATGGCAACGTCTTTTTTGGCATTTTTGGCATTTGGCGTGTAAGTAAACTGAACCCGGATCCAAAGCTCTGTTATTTGCTGAAATTCTCACCCCCTGCCCACTCGATCAAGCGAGGAATTTCATCTTCAATTTTTTGCAAATTGTGTACTCTTCCAGCAGATGACTGAATTAGACCGTCGCACAAAAAAACGCTTATATTCGCTTTCAATCATTTTTTCGGTGCAATGATAAATAATTGCATTTTTGACTTCACAGCGTCCACGTCTCTCGAGGTAGATAGAATGGCCAAGTAATTGTAAGAAAATATATCTCACTGTTGATTGGTCACATTACCATTCGAAAAGACACTTCGTAAGGATTGTTGGTCTCGGGTTAGTAGGTTCCTGTGGAGAGGAAGGGAATACGACTCCCTAAAAATGCCTCCGTGCATTGGAGGCTAACTTTCAGGAAAATCAACTGATCTCAGCGTGCAATGGCAATAATAAGGTTAAAGGTCTGATAATCGTAGGTAAGCCAGTCCACCTTACTTATCCGTAGCGAAACTTGAAAAAAGTAAAAGCAAAAATAAGCGACGTGGTAAAATGTTTAAAGCTAAGGAAAGTTGTTTAGCATACCGACTGGTGCAGCAACATGACGGTACGATAAAAAGACCTCCCTGATGGCGCAACCGAAGTGTGCGGCGCGAAGCATATTTTTTAAAGAAACTCGCTGAAAACAGTTCTTTTTAAAGGCAGTGATATGACATTATTTAAACATGAATTTATAATGTCAATTTGGCTTTCAGAGAAAGGGTAGACACAAATCTCTGCAAACCGAGCAAAGATGTTTACATCCCGATTAGAGCTTTTGACAATGGTTAAAATCTGTTAAACCACTATTGTCCGATCAGGCTGCCGTGAGAAGTTTCCTAATCATCAGGAGAGAGTGACATTTTAAGATAATAGGAGCATAAATTTAATTTGTACCCAATCAGTGCGCGTTTTGATTAACTCCCGTAACTTGAAATATCTTTAGCTATCCACTTTTATGGGCGGGGGGGCAACCAAACCAGCTTTACCAGAAAATACCAAGAAAGCGACTTAATTTGACTTGTTGCAGTTTACTTGTAGATAGAAAATTATTATTTCATATAATTTGCAACAAAATCCCAATAATATACTTATGAGATCCCCTGAAACACTTTCAACTAAACGAAAATATAGCACTTACTAAGTAAACAACTGATAAACAGTAAAATGACCATCCCTCCAAGGGAGAGTGCATAGTGACAGATGTATATCTCGACACTTCTCGTCACCCACCACCGTTTTTCGGGAGATAGTTCTATACTATCATATCCTCAAATAATCACACTGAATAAACCAAAAAAATATATTTCAATTGGTTATCTTACAACTTTTCCAAAAAGAGAGGATTTTTGAATATTCCTGGCGGGAGCTTCTCGATCTTGCTTGACGATAAATCCCTGTAGCAAAATTAAAGTAAAGAGGGTCAAAGTAATCATACAAACACCCGTAACTTATAAAATATCAGCGAAGTTCTTAAAGGAAATTCGCTTGCCAATAGAAAAAACATATTGATCTCACAAGAACAAATTATCGAGCTGGCAAAATTAAACAATTCTTTACTAGATGTTTTCTATTCTGGCTGTCTCTTGAAAATTCGAGTTATTTTAGGAAATTAAATAGAAGAAATAATTGTACGTCAGTGAGGACAAACCAAAAGCGACGGTAACAATAATGATACCCATTTTTATTAAATTATTTTAAGGTTTAAATGTAAAGCTTTATATAGTGGAAAAATAATTAGAATTTACCTTTACCGGTATAACATAGTAATAATAATGATGATGATAAAGATGATACCGTAAAATTCCGAAAATAAGCCCCTCCATGTATAAGCCCCTACAAATATAAGCCCCCCAAACTCGTAACGCAAAAAACCCTCCGTTAATTCGCCCCTCCAAATATAAGCCCCCGGGGGGCTTGTACTTGGAAATCGCCCTTAAGTACAAAGTAAAACAAAGCAAAAACGGTAAATTTCCTTTCAACTATAAGGGTAGCCCAAACGATTTTAAGACACAAATTTCCTTCCGTAGATAAGCCCCTCCGAATATAAGCCCCTCCAAAAATAAGCCCTTCAAAAAGGGCCTTTGAAAAGTATAAGCTCCGGGGCTTATTTTTGGAATTTTACGGTAATTTTAAATAAAGATATGCAGAGGTAATTGCAATTTAGGCTACTGCAAATAAACCCGAAAAAATTTCGGGACTTCCACGTGGGTTTAACCAATGGCGTCTGCGGTAGCGTTGCAGCGGTCTACCATTTGACCTATGAAAGCCCCACGCCCTGGGACACATTTTTCCAAATAAACCTGGTTTATTTGCAATTGTTTAAATTGCAATTACCACTGCCACGATCACGTCTTCATTTAAAGTTTTTATTTCCACAGTTCACATCATCTTCAATAATGATGAATGAAAATGAAGATAATAATAATAATAATAATAATAATAATAATAGCAATAATAATAATAATGAAAAAGAAGATGAATGTAAGTTCTTAGTTTCGTTTACGGACACTCGTTAAACATTAGGAAATGCTATTGGTGGCCGGGAACATGGCAATGTGTAAAAAATAGTAATCAATTAATTGATAGAGCAGCGTTTATTGATTCTGTGGGAAATTTGAGTGCCGATTTGAAAAATAAGGCTTGTGAAAAGCTCTGTGATTCCTTGGTGTAAAAGAAAGGAAGGAAGGTTGAAATAGCGCACTGCAGGTTTTGATGCACCTGTGTCATTTCTTTGGACATCTGTCGCCTAAGCATCATCAGTGATTCGCGCGCCCACGTGTATCTTATTCAATAGCGTGCAACAGGTTATGCCATAGATAACGATTGGGAAGGTGAATGCGTACAGTCGAAATTTTTTCCACATTGTAAATGAAAGGGCAAGTTTTCCATTGCACGCGCGCTCATTTGAAGGTCCAAGGTTGATCGTCAGCATTTAGAGCGCTTGTAACTAGAAAGCTATCTGGCGCTCTTGTCAAGTTAAAGTAAAACAAGTAGATAGTGGTTGCCAAAAGATTCTCTTATTTTCAGGGTCAGGATTTTGGAGCATTTTGTACTTTGTGTGTGAAACTGGGATAAAACGATGGGAATGTTAATAAGTAAGAAAACATCAGGCCAATTAATTTAAGGTGAAAAAGGAAATGCACTTACAATTCAGTGGTTGTAGTTGGAATGCAATTCCAGTTATGTGTTATGTTGCTTTCACTACAGTTGTGTTTGTTGGTAACTTGATCAGAACTTGTTATCGAACCGTTACTGCGACACCAATGATTGCAATCTACAAAATCAATCGCGCAAGAATAAGGCAGTTGATAGAGGCAATTTGTCACTAAAGCTGTACACTTCGATATATGCATTAATACAGTATTAATAACGAATTTTCATTTTTACTTATTTTATTAAGGGTGAAACCGAATTTCAAATATTATATTTTGGTAAATTCGCATTGTTTACAAACCTAAATGGACACAAATTACCCGTGTTGAAAACAGTGGCGAAACAAGAAAAAGTAGACTAAAACTTTGTACATTCATTTTTCCCCGAATCAACTGAATCATCAACGGATAAAATAAGGACAAAATTCAACACAACTGTTTGTGCGAGCTACTATGGTTGTTTTAATTGCAAAATGTCTCATCTACATTGAATGAAATTTAACAGCATTGAATCCTTACCCAGAACGGTTACGTCAACCGTTTTTGAGTCATTTCCTTCATTGTTTTCTGCTAGTAGAGTGTACTTGTAGGTACCGGCCGTCCGCTTTATTCGAAATCCTTTTCTGAAGAAACCGCCCTCCAAAGATGTTGATGTATTCACTAGGGTCAAGTTAATTGGTGGGGTACCTTCTAACAGAAACCAGATATAATGCTCTGGCACAGTTCGCCACTCCGTCAACGGTACCCTGATCCTTGGCTTTTCTGAAAAAGTCAATTTCCGATTTCAAGTTACATCAGGTTGCAAGCAAACTTAGAGTTGCTTAAACCAACTTCAAAAATACTTCAAATATATAAGCGAATACTCTTTTTATCGTAGAACACCTTGCTCAACGAAACCCTAGAGTATTTAGCGGAGCCTCAGCATACACGTGTGGTGGAGCCTCCCTTGCTATAAAGGAGAATATTCCAATAAAGATCTTGGATTCTGTTTGTTTAACTATAGGGACAAAAAAAAAACTTTCATAAATAAAGTTTGAAAGATGTGCTTTTAGCTTGGTCACGCGTTTGTTCACGCTCTAGAACCAATGCAATCTCAGACTGGTCAAAGTTTTGACAGGTGAATTCATCTGTAAAAACGTACCCAGCATCTTCTTACCTGGGTCACTGAAATAGAGCAGTAGGTAACTATTCGTCAAGGCCCGATATATGATAAGAAAGAAACATAATTCGGCCCGATTTTTCTTTTAGCTCTTTCCTTTAGACGATAATATTGACTCTGACATTCGTAACCTGTGAATTGGCTGTTGGTTGCAACCGAGGGGCTTGTGCATAAAAACGATTTTTTTTCTGTAAACGTTTCAAGACTTTAAATTTGATAGGGGAGTTATTTCATTTCAGTTGTGAAATTTTTTATCAATCACCTAGACCCTCCTTCAAAAGGAGGATTCTTTTTAGTGGCTTAGAGGAGTTATTACCTACATATTATCAGGTCATTTTTAGTCATTTACCTCGAACTCTAACTTGAATTTCACGCAAAATAATTTTCCACCCGCGACTTTCGATCCGCATCCGCGACATATAATCCACAACCCGCGACCCGTGAGTCGCGCCATTAGTCAGACTCATTTTAATGATGAGCTAATTAGCATTCTTGTTAAGTTCACATTTTGTCGTTTTGATAACTTACTATCGCTTACCTTTTGCCGTGTAATATGCTCCTTTAAAGATACTACGGGTATACCGATACTTCTTTTTTAAAGTTAACATCATAAATCGACCACTTGTTTGTATGAGGAAGGGCTGTCTTATTCCAGTAAAAACTCCCAGTACGGTATCATTTTTCCTTTTTCCGTCATAGACTTGGATGTCGGGTCGATCCCAGGGATATACAGATAGACGAAATGTCGTAAATATCAGTTTGACGGTGTGGTTGGATGGTGCTGTGATGATCCACGTACAAAGCGTGAATTTGTTGGTTGCACTGCTAAAGCTGATGAACCCACTGGATCCGTTAACAGCAAAGAAACATGCTTCAGAGTTGACGACTGCAAATAGAAGTGCGTAATTTAATGTTTAAAACAAAAACTCACAAACTTTACTCTTTTGACAGGCTAACTTTTAACGCTTAACACGGTATAACTAATAAAAATTCTCTTCGGTTCCATAGCACTCACTGAGAAGCCGGATTATTATGATCGCTATTATATCGGCTAATGATCATGAACACCCCTTTTTAACATACCCATGCAGTAAAATCTATATATTTTCACCGGTTGTTTTTCTTCTTAGTTTTGTATCTATCATAGAATGAGACGGTGTGCAAAAGGCAAGTTTAACTTTTGCCAGTGGGTCACTGGTGGGTACGTGTTGGGTGTAAATTAGTACAGTTTGCGGTGTACTGTGTGTTGTTTGTCATGATGTCAACTAACATTGAAAAAAATTCAGCTGTTTCAAAGGAGGGACATTTGTTGAAAGCTTATGTTTTTTTTTCTGGTCGCAAGCTTGGCCAGTATGCAAGTCAAGAGCTTTGGAAATCCCTTTTCCAAAATAAAGCTCCGGACCTAAGCTTAAAATATATATTGATCCAAGTGCACGTGACCAGCACGATCAGCAGTAAGAATAAAGAAAAAAAGGCCAAAGGGAAAAATAGTGTTAAAATAAAGAGACCAAACAGAAAAAAAAACGGTACAAAGAAACAGAAAACAGCGTCGCCGGGAGTCGAACCCGGTTTACACGGGCAAGCAACTCCTCGTCTATGACCACTGCACCACAGTGACACACATGATTTGAAAAATTAATTTTGTCATATCAAAAAAATTTTTCTCTGCCATAGACGCTATTTGAAACTGGTGGAGCTGAAATTTATCAAGACTTCAAATATACATTTGAGGAAAATTAGCTTGAGCGCGTATTTCAAAGATATTTCGCATTATTTCGGGTTCTACCACAGGTAGCCCAAGCTCACTATGCGAGCCCTGAACAACATTATCCTACTTAGCTAATTAATTATTCATACAGCAAGAAAATTATAAGACGTTGTATGGAGAAATATTCTTTGCTCACTAAATTAGCAAAATGTACATTGAATATCGCTTTGAAGCTCACCTATAGCGTCTTCTTGTTTTTCTTTGTATTCTGACTTCATTTCAGACCTCCTAGGCACTGTTTAAGGCCTTTTTTGGAGCGACAGTTTTTCACCCAGACTGTTATCTGGGTGAAAAACTGTCGCTCCAAAAAAGGCCTTAAACAGTGCCTAGGAGATCTGAAATGCAGTCAGAATACAAAGAAGAATAAGAAGACGCTAAAGGTAAGCTTCAAAGCGATATTCAATGTACATTTTGCTAATTTAGTGAGCAAAGAATATTTCTCCATACAACGTCTTATAATTTTCTTGCTGTATGAATAATTAATTAGCTAAGTAGGATAATGTTGTTCAGGGCTCGCATAGTGAGCTTGGGCTACCTGTGGTTCTACGGGCCGACTCGATGAAGATAATCGATCGAACTAGCTTTACTGAATTTGGTCGAGAATCAGGGGATCAACAGAGGTCCACACTCGAAAGGAATGATATGAAGTTAGGCCTGTTTAATTAGCAAAAGAATAGATGAGATATAAACATGTGTGATCTGTGAATGGAACCTCCTATTCTGGAGACTAGACCTTGTCTATTTTAGAAAAAAAAAAAAGATTTAACTTTTGATGACCTTGCCGGCCCCGTAAAAAAGATGGCGATCCCGCAACACGGCCCGCAAAACAAATTAACAAAATTATACAATGACGGACACAAAATATCAAAACGGTTTACACAAGCAGATTATAGTAACACAAAAGCTCACACACATTCGATCAAATAAGCGATATATAGCGATATTTGCTAGCTTCTTAGCTTTTTCTCGACCTCACTCGTCCAAATAACTGTCGTATCCCTTGCTAATTTGCACAAGCGAACCGAGGCACCTGCCCGTTACTATGTGACGTCATATTGGCAGGCGGAGTGGGTCAAGAAACTTAGATGGAAAACAATGAATAGAGTTATTTCCCCCCCCGGTTGAGAGACATAAAAACTCGATGACATGCAAAGTGTCAATCAAATGCAACCTCTGAGCTGAATGACACAAAACGTGGATCCACAGTAGTTGAATGCAAATTTTTGTGGGTTTTACGTTTTCAGAATACGAGAGATTAACAGTAAAAAAGGTTAGTAATACATTACGTAAAGATGCAATGTAGTATATACAGGATAATGCTTGAGCCCGAGGCCTTCTTACAAAGCAGCGGCAAAAGGCTGAAGAGCGAGTATTGTGGCCACTGAAATCGAACAGTAGGTTATTATTCGTTATAATGACCCCCTTTTTTATCTCAGTGGACCGCTCTTTCATTCATTAAAAATAATAACCTGTTAAAAAAAATGGAAGGATGCATTAATACGATTTACGCCCAGGGTTATCAGTCGGTAGATTTCCGATACGGATTATAGCAGCGGCTGATCTACAAGCTACAAGAAAATAAGCAGATATGGAGTAATATTTTTATATATAATTTATAAAAACAATTCCAGCATTTCTATTGCCTTAGAAGGTCTCAAGTTACCCCCAACATTTACTTGTCAACCAAAAATTAATTCTTGCACATTTATTATCATTTAAACTACAAATAATGTGTTTGCCCATACTTTGCTTTTGAATTGTTTCGTGCACTTCTAGCTGGTTTGTTAATACATAACAGAGAAAAGAAAGAAAACATAAAAGACGACAATACAAACGAATCATAATTTTACTTGCCTGTAACTGTCCACACTGACAACAAAATTAATACAAGCAAAATTCTTCCTTGCCTTGACATCTGCAATAGAAAAAAATATCATAGTAAAGATAGTGGTCTCCTCAAGTGGACTGATTTGCAGTAATTACGAGAACAGCCGTTGTATTTGCCCCTAGAATATTTTTTTACTATTCCTGAGCATGAAAACAATAAAAAATTCCAGCGGCCAAATTACTCCTATGTTTGCGCGTTTTCGCGACTGATTTGCTATCAACAAATTTAGTGCAAATCCATTTATTGGTCAAGTGATTCTCTATACAATTTAATAATAGGTGAACAAAGACAGAGTCAGAGGTTTCAAGTGGCTCTGCCATCTGACTTTTTTACCTCCAATCAAATTTTTCATATCTTCAGGAAATCTTTCCCACGTACTGTTGTGGTTGTTTCACCCAGAGTTCTCTTTAACTTTTTTAAAGTCGGTTCCAACTAGCCTACATTAGTATATCAACCAATGGCAGTGAAACTGCTAACATAAAGGTCATCTTCGGGGTGACTATCTGGGTTAGACACTATTCTGAACCCTCCTTATACACTATACATTTTCCTTGAGGCCAGTCATCTTCATGCTCATACAGGAACTCAGGTGCAATGAACCAGTGGTAATTAATTGTCAGGACCTTCACGTGTGGCCCTCGAGTCGCACTCTTCTGCAGAATTCAAATTAGTCTTGCCTTTTGTGTGTATAGTTCAGTAAAAACAAACAGTTCAGTGACCACAACTTGGGTTCAGTAGAGACACACAAATCAATAAGAATATGTGTATTACTCCTCTTCTAATAATATTAGCAGTGGGGGTGTTGTGGGGAGTTAATTATATAAATAGTGGAACTCTAGAAACTCTGCAGAAGCGCGTTGGAAGAATTGTAATTAAAACATCTGGTAGTGACACTGCCATGAAAGATTTGAAATGGCCAAGCCTTAGCTCCTGTCGCGATGAACACATCCTAAAGCTTGTAAGGAAATGTATACATGGTCGGTCCCCTCAGTATTTTAAGAACTACTTTGTTTTTAACAAGGACATTTGTGCTCGTTCAACCTGCCAGAGCAATCTCTTGCATCTGCCTGCTATAAGAACAGAAGTGGCCAAGAGATCCTTTTATTACCATGCAAGTATGGTTTCTAATAGTTATTGTAAATGATCTTAATCTTGAAAGATCTTGTTATTAGTTAATTTGTTATATTACCTTGTATAGATGTTTATTAGCCACTCTTTGCTTATAACCTGGTTTTTGTTTTGTATGCTTTATCACTAGGGGGGGATTGAGGTCCTGACAACCCTGCAAAAATTCCTGCTTTAATTTAAATTCATCGATGTCTAGCTTGCTCCATTTTGATATAGTGTGCTCCTTCCCCATATAAACCTCCAAAGTCAACGCCGTATTTTGAAGCCTGCCTTTCCGAGCAGCTCTCTAAGCTGGTCTCGAGCTTCATCTTTAGTCTCCAAGGAAGTCATTATGTCATCCACGCACATTTGTCAGGGATCATGGCTACTACTAGCGGGTAGTCATTTCTGTTATCTTCTGCACGTTTTCGCACAACGTACTGGGTAAGGTAAAGTGAGACGCGGTCACCAAACATCAATCTTATTGCTTTATAGACTTTCACAGGTCTCGAGAGGACTAACCCTCCCCACAGGAAGCGGTAGGACCGTCTGTATTGCTTTGCCATGGTGACTTGTGAGAACATTTCCGTCAGATCTGCTACTAGGGCTACAGGATCACTGCGAAAAAGCAATAGTACATCAAAAACATCTTACTGCAGTTAAGGTCCAGGCAACATGGTATCATTAAGGCTTATTCTGCCATATCTGGTTGTTGAATCGAAAACTATCCTTCCTTTGGTAGTCTCTTTGTCTTCTCTCACTACAGAAAAATGAGGTAGGTACCCAACTTTCAATTGGGCCATCATCAATTTCTCCTTGCTCCAGAGTCCTGATGCAACCCTTGG